GCGTCCAGCAAGCTGAGGTGAGCTGGGTTTGTTGGGTGCTGCTGTCCTTTCGCTTGCGTCTTCCCCAACACCCACAACATCCTTTCGCTTGCGTCTTCCCCAACACCCACAACAACAAGGGCTTCGTCATGGAGTCGGAACACAAGTATGCGGAGCTACCAACGTATGAGGACGTCGACGCCACGCCTGTTGAGGTGACCATCACGCTGCCGTCACTGCCGTTCTTCTCTGTGGGGACAAGCAATGGTGAGGGTGGAGAAGCAACATCTCAGCAGGGTGGCCATGAGCGGGAGCCCGCAGCCATTCACGCCAAGATCAGCCCCCAGTGCGATCCAGAAGAAGTGGCGCGGCGAATTCTCGAACAGTACAAACTGCCCGACCTCTGCCTGCCATCTCTCGTCTGCGTCCTGGAAACGCACCAGCACACCCTCAGGCAGCAGCGCCTGGACGAGCGCGACGATGCGCTGTCGCTCGCAGAAGCGATGCACCCGACCAGTGCCAGTGAACACGACGAAGCAGAGACGCAGCAAGAAACAAGACACCAGCAAGCAGGCGAGGTTGAGAACGCAACAGCTGATGGCCAACAAATTGAGGAACAGCAGCAGCAACAACAACAGGCAGTGGTTAACGGAGCTGGAGAAACGAACGGCTTGGAAGAGGATGAAGAGGCCATCGCGCAGCAGTGGGCAGATGCGTTTGCCAACAACTGCAAGGAGTTTCGTCACGCGCGAGACGTCGAAGGTGCAACAGAGACGTTTGATGAGGATGCCATCAGCTTCAGCGAGCGCTTCCACGAACTCATCCACTCCCCACTCCTCGTACGTCGGTGTGCGTTTGCTTGTCTGTCTGTCTGTCTGCCTGTCTGTATATCTGTCTGTCTGTCTGTCTGTCTGCATGTCTGTGTGTCTGTCTGTCTGTATGGCTGTCTGTCTGTATGGTCGTCTGTCTGTCGGTTGCATGAAATGATTTGCACTCACTCAATCTGTCTCTTTCTTCATTTCATCACTACCACTGACGATAACAACGACAGAACCAGCTGTTGCAGTTGGAGGATGGCTATGCAAGTTATGTACAGGAGATGATCAGCAAACGGGACAGGTGTAAATGATGTTTCATGTCGCATGTATGTTGGTGCGAGCGAGGGCCTGAATTGAGGGTGTGAATTTGGCTTGAATGCTCGTCACACCAGATGCACAGTTCCCATGCACATACATGCGCACACACAAATACACAAACACATACACACACATGCACACGCGCTCGTACACACATACACACACACCCGTACACACGCGTGGCCATGGCAGACTGATGCAGAAGAAGGAGGAACAGCAACTCCGAGAGCAGGAGCAAGCGCTTGCCAAGCTCGAGCAAGGCCTCTCTGCTCGCGACATCACCGACCTGGCACGACAGCACACGCAGGACAGAGAGGTGCGTGAGCAACACGCCATGTGCTGGTTTGTGCTTGGATTTGTTCTCTATGCAGTCGCGTTTGTGTGTGCATGCGATGCCAAGTGTTTCTCTCTTGTCTGCCTTTAATTGTGTGTCTTTCCGTGCCCGTAACTTTGTGCATCTTGTGTCGTTTCCACCATGTTCATGCGGTGGCTTTCTCCCTTGCCCATGCTCCACCATGATGACTCATGTCGCCCTTATCGTTGACCGCAACAGACGCATCTTGCGAACCTAAATGCCGAGATCAAAATGCAAAAGGAGCTGCAGAAACGCGCATTTCGGGACATGGTGTTGGAGTTGAGTCGTGACACCGCGGACCCGGCATCCATTGCCGTTCCAAACATTCCCCCGCCGTCATTCGACAGCCGCGACGCAGACCAGGAGAAACCCAAACGATCCCAGCAAAGTGCGTGTGTGTGTGTGTGTGTGTGTGTGTGTGTGTGTGTGTGTGTGTGTGTGTGTGTGTGTGTGTGTGTGTGTGTGTGTGTGTGTGTGTGTCATGTGTGCATTCATCGAGCGTACTTCTTGCCATCTTCACTTCATCGCTTTCGCTGTTCTCCGATGTGATCCTAACCATGTACTCATTCATGCCCTTTCTCTCCCCCCCCCCTCTCGAACCCCCACACGCGTGCAGGCTCTCTGTTCAGCAAGTTCACATTTGGGCGGAGTGGGAGCAGCAGCAACACGACGACGTCCGCAACGCAGCAGCAGAGAACGATGCAGCGCTCACAGTCGAGCTCATCGCAGATCCCACAGGACCAACGTACGTGTGCACGTCAGGAAGGGTTGGAGGGGCGTGCTGTAGTTGCTGAATGTGTGTGTGCATACGTGTGTGTGTGTGTGTGTGTGCATACGTGTGTGTGTGTGTGTGTGTGTGTGTGTGTGTGTGTGTGTGTGTGTGTGTGTGTGTGTGTGTGTGTGTGTGTGTGTGTGTGTGTGTGCTTACCGCCACAAAGTACCATCATCATCATCATCACCATCATCATCATCCTCATCACAGCGGAGCAGGAGCCGATGATTGAGTCCTTCACGGTCATGTTGGGAACACAGAAGAAAGTCGAGCACAACCTGCGTCTCATATCAGGTATATGCCCGTGTGAGTGTGTGTGAACGCAGGTTGTTGGTGTCCCTCGTGTAATGTTGCAAAGTCAGTCAATTCTGCCTGACCCCAAGTCACTCCCTTCCTTTCACACATCATGCACACAATCACACACACTGTCTCTCTCTCATGCACACAATCACATGCGCGCACAATCACACACAAACGCGTGTCCGCTGCCATCAGGAAACATCATTGACACATGCGGTGTGGAGGCGCACGCGCGAACGGCGATGGAGTCAAAGGCGAAACGTTTGGCCACAGCCATGTCGCTCTACTCGACAGAGCTGCGTGCGGTTGTTATCATTGTTGACACGCGTCTCAGCAGTTACAGCGGTGCAAAGGCGGAGTTTGCTGCCGTCTGCGAACGCGTGCGTGTGTGTACATGTCTGCGCTTGTGTCTCTGTGCTTGCCTTTGTGGATGTTTGTGTGGATGCTGTGCTTTCGTTTTCTGTGTGCGTCTCCTCCTTTGTCTCCGCTTGTGTGTTGTCTGCCGTGTCTTTGAAGGTCACATTCACGACATGTCATCCACGCAGTCACGACATGTCATCCACGCATTCACAATTTCATGCTCACTTTCCGTGCGCTTTCAGTCCACGGATTTGCATTTTGCTGAGTTGCCGGAGCAGATTGAGACTCTTCAGGTAGATCTTATGGCCACACACGACGGCGGTGTGCGCGGTCAGCTCTCACCAGGTGCGTTTGTGTTTCTGTGTGTCTGTGTCTATGTCTGTGTGTGTGTGTGTGTGTCTGTGTGTGTGTGTGTCTGTGTGCACATGTGTGTCTGTCTGTGTGCACATGCTGTGCATGTGTCTGTGCGTACAAGCAGCTCTGGTCACATGTGTTCGTTGCGCTTGTTCCGCGCTATTTTGGGCTAGCGTGAGACATTTCCCCGTCGACAGACTCGATGCACCATACGTTCACACGCGCCCATCACGACCGCTGTCACCACCTCCATGCCATCATTATGTCGCCACCCTGGTATCATGCTTTGTTGTCTTTGGTTTCGCCATGTAGGCGACTTCTACATCACGCGCCACTCGAATCTTGCGGACGCCCACGTCGTCTTCCACCTCGTCGCCGACGATGAGGTGGGTGATCATGTGTGTGCGTGTGGGTGTGTGTGCGTGTGTGGGTGTGCGTGTGGGTGTGTGTGCGTGTGGGTGTCTGTGTCTCTGTGTCTGTGTCTCTGTGTGCGCGTGCTCGAAGGCTTAATTCTCGTTCACCGTTGCTGTTTTGCTCTGTCGAGATCTTCTCCTTTGTTGTGCACTCACACGACCAACCCCACTCGCTCCCTCCATGTAACCTGCCTTCTTCTCCTAATCTGCAGGTGCTGCAAGACAACTTCAATGGGCGATCAAAAATGCTGCTTGGACTTCGCAACATCATCCGCTGTATGTTCCAGAACGACATCCAGACCATCACCCTCCCCCTCCTCCTCCTCCACTCCTACACCCCGGTTCGACCCTGCTGTCTCCGTGTGTGTGTGTGTGTGTGTGTGTGTGTGTGTGTGTGTGTGTGTGTGTGTGTGTGTGTGTGTGCGTCACAATGGTATAGTTACCCTGACACCCAAATAACCCTCGGGTCCCCGGTACCTATAAAAATCGGGTGATGCAGTTGCCACCACGTGTTATCCGGTCATGGACATCCCTTTTGATGTCACTATCACTGCTCCATGCCCCTAGAAACCTCTGTGTGTCTGTGTGTCTGTGCGTCTGTGTGTCTGTGTGCCTGTGTCTGTGTGTTTGTGTGTCTGTGTCTGTGCGTCTGTGTGTGTCTGTGTTTCTCTCTCTGTGTGTGTGTGTGTGTGTGTGTGTGTCTGCTCTTGTACATGAATCCAATCCACGTTCATTCAACACGGTCCCTCCAACTCCCTCACCCCAAACACAGGAAATGGATGACCGGTTCTGTGAGCGGCGCTGTGAACTGATTCTGAAAACCATCAAAGGATTCATCATGGAAAACACCGCATGGTGAGATGTGCACATGTTGCGGTGTATTGTCCGTGCGCGCGCGAGAGTGAGCCCGTGAGCATGGAGGGCAAGCAAGCAGACAGACAGGGCAACTGTGTTTGCCCGCTCGTTGCTTGCGATTGAACCTTGTCGCGCTCACCACGCCTTGTCGCGCTCACATGTGGTGCTTGCGCTGTTTCTTTCATGTGTGTGTGTGTGTGTGTTCGTTTGTTCATCGCCATCAGGGGCCGTTCGAGCTCAAAGACGATTCAGCTGATGGTTCCAAAGGTGCGCTGAACAACTGCACTCCCATGCATACAAACACACACACACATGCGCACATGCTACGGTCGTACAAGCAACATGCATGACATGCCCCTTTGCTCGCTCCCTCACGCTCACGCTCACGCTCATGCACACGCATACAAGCACCCGTTTTCATGCATTGCCTGTCGTATGCTGCTTCTCATTCGCATTCCTCCCCTCGCCCTCTGCGTTCAGGAAACAACACCGGAGCGGTTTGCGATGTTCGTAGAGTTGACATCGAGCATCTTCAGGGAAACACGCATGCTCTCAACATAGCCGCCTTTGCACGCTCCTCGCGCGGACTCGATCAACACACACACACACACACACACACACACACACACACACACACACACACACACACACACACACACACAACACAACACAACACAACACAACACAACACAACACAACACAACACAACACATCACATCACATCACAAACATACACACAACACATCAGATGCACGCACGCGCCCCATCGTTTCTTCTTCAATTCCCCCCCCCCCTCCAATCGTTGTTTGACGTTCAATTTTCTTCAGGTTAGATCGCTGCACGCCCCATGTGTGCTCAGGTTTGGTTTTGAGTTGAATGGCACTCACAGCACATCACGACACGCGTGTGTATTCTCTCTCTCAACAGCAAACGCCGTTTTCTGCTACAAGGCGGTGGGTGAGCGGGCGCTATTTACACAAAACCCAAAGCCGTCTCCCTCGTAAACAAAACGATAAACAGCCCTACAGCAGGTTGGTTGGACGCGTAAAGCAAGTGATAACAACAGCACAGCGTGGGTGGTGTCTTCACAACACCACAACAAACCAAAAGCACAGGTCACACCTCTGTCTGGCTCACAAGCGGCATCAGATGCATGCACAAGCACGTAGTGCGCGGAATCGATCACCACACACACATGCACACACACACATACACACACGCACACACACGCACACACACACACACACGCAATTCCTCACAAGAGGGCCTTCCACTTAAAGAGTTGGTTGTGTGCGGATGTGTACAGGGATTCGCCAGATTGCGAGAATCGAACGCAGCGAACAACGTCTCCATGTGCCGGGAAATCTTGGAACGTGCCTAAACACGCACAACACAAGGCAGCAGTGCGTGAATAATGTGTGGGCATGCGTGGGTGCATGTGCTTGTGCATGAGTGACTCGAAGATTGGAGCATCACGTTTGTTCCCCAAATCCAACACGAATGCGAGCACAGCAAGCACTACAGCCACCACACGTGCATGTGCACAACGCAGATAGAGACGTTCAACCACGCCACCTTGGTCGTAATCGACAATCTTCACGAGTCGGTCTGGCGTGCCAACGGCAACGAGTGTGCCGCGTGGCGAAATGTCCAGAGCCCACGCAAACTGCTGCAGACTGTGGTGTGCGGGGTTGAGATAAAGCGGTTTGGGATTGGCGTTTGGAAGTTCTCGAATGTCAGTTGAAGAGGAAACGGGTGAAACAAGGCAGTGTGTAAACGCTGCATGTGACGTCTACAATCACACCCACGCACCGTGACATCACACACAACCCGCATACGCACCGAATCCTGCGCACGATGGAGCGAAGCGTCAGCGAGTAGAAGTTGAGCTGTGTCCACGCCAACAGATACAGATACACACACGCATACATACAATGCATACATACACGGTGCATCTGGTGAGGGTTGAGAGAAGATGCAAACGAGTTGTCTTGCACACAAACGCGTCAAAGTGCAGAGCACAGGACAGCAGCACTCACTCACTCACACCTGCACACACACTCCCTTCCCTCTTCCATCATTCACGCACACACACACGCACCTGCTGCGTTGCCGCAAATGAGGTGAAGACAATGAGCTCCGGATCCACGGGCGAAAACCGGGCCAGCGTGGGCGGCTGTTCCTGTTTGTTGTTGGCGTTGTGGCAGTCACCAGAAGATTGGTCAGCGAAATGCGATCTTCGGCTTGCTTGCAGGCACGCACACAGTGAGGGACGCGCACTCATGTCCGCAAATACACACGAACGCACAATGGCACACTCGCACGCACTCAACTGCACACACACACACACATGCACATACACATACACATACACATACACATACACACACACATATACACACGCACGCAAGCACGCAAGCAGGCACCTGCAGGTCATGCGATGGCTCAAATGCGGGTGCAGCGAGCGTCAGCCACTCCATGAGGTCGTTCTTGTCTTGCGACCAGTGTGCGTTCCACACACTGATGCGCCGGTCCTGGCAGCACGCCAACCACAACTCTGATCAAGCAGATTGTCATGCGCAAGCGGATGTGTGAGTGCGTGGCAGCATGAAACATGCAACACACATCCAAGTTTGTTTGTCTCCATGACCTCTGCATGATCCTTTCCCCCCTGGAGACTGCACATGCTACTTCTTCTCTTTCACCAGTGCAGTCATCACCACTTCACTCCCGCCTCCATCCCCATCCCCCATCCTCATGCCAGCCCCCGCACCGGGTGAGCGGTCAGGCCGCTTGTGTGACGCCGCGACGTCAAACATCGACACGAGGCTGCCTCGATGGTCAATGATGGTCCTGTTGGGACATGTTTGCGTGTGTGCGTGCGTGCATGCGTGTGTGTGTGTGTGTGTGTGTGTGTGTGTGTGTGTGTGTGTGTGTGTGTGTGTGTGTGTGTGTGTGTGTGTGTGTGTGTGTGTG